TGGTTGTAATGTGACAAAATATGGAAAAGTTCAAGGGGTATGAATACTTTTGCAAACCACTGTATCTGATGATCGACTCTTTTAAATGAAACCAGAGAGCGTTGACAGAGAGGAGAAGGTAGAAATGACTCAGCCTGGAACTGAAAATATGGATGGAGGACAACAGGTTAGCTTGTTTGTCTCGCTAGCACCGAGCTAATACATATAACCCAATATAGCGTCAGTGCTAGCGCAAAGGCCAACAAGCTAAGCTGAGGTTCTTCTTCCATGAAGCAGCTCTGTTGTCCTCCATCCATATTTTCAGTTCTCTGGGGAAACCCTGAAAGTGCAAACCGTCAGAGCGTTTGGAGAATAAACTCTGGCTGCCTGGGAGCAAAGCAGGAAAGAAACATTTAAGCCTCGATAATGTTCTGCTTTGCTCCCAAAAACTGTTTTTTTAGAGGAAAAACTTTTCAAAGTTCCCGTTTTAAGTTATAGATAAATAATTTCCCTGTATATTTGGATAATTTCCCCAGACTCCGTATCTCTGTCCTCTGGTGTTCTCCAGCACCAGCGAGTCTTCGGCTCTGCTCATCCGATCGTTCAGCGAGAGCGGCTCTCTGAGAGACCACCTCTGTAAGGTGAGAGAGAGCAGCTTTAACGAGACGACCGCCCGCCTCGTCGGGTTTCTGAGGTCGCTCAAATCAAACCGTCATCTCTGCAGGTGAAGCCCCGAGAGAACTACCTGAAGAAATACAGCAACCCAAAGAAAAGCCAGGGCCTGGAGCTGGAGCGGATCAAACTGTACGGCCGGCAGATCCTGGAGGTAAACGCACAGAAAACACTCAAATCTGCAGCTTCAGTTTGTAAGTAAGTAAACTTTATTTATATAGCACTTTTCACAGGTCAGAAACCWCAAAGTGCTTTACAAGAAGACATAAAAACACAAGAAATAAAACAAGATCGATAAAACAAAACAAACATGTGATTAATATTACATGTTGGAAAAATATATATATTAAAAATAAATTAAAAGCCAATCTGAACAAATGTCTTCAGCTGCTTTTTGAAAATTTCAAGAGAATCAAGACATCGCAAATTTAGAGGCAGAGCGTTCCACAGCCTGGGGGCCACGACCCTAAAGGCTTTATCCCCTCTAGTCTTGAAATTAGTCTGTGGAACCATTAACAAGCTTTGACTGGAAGAAGATCTGAGGCTGTGAGAAGAGAAGTAGGGCTCTAAAAGGTCAGAGATATGGACTGGGGCTTTGACCACACAGGGCTCTAAAGGTAAGAACTAAAATTTTAAAATGAATTCTAAAATGTACCGGCAGCCAATGTAAAGAGATTAAAACTGGAGTTACGTGTTGTCTTTTCCGTGTGTTGGTTAAAAGCCTGGCAGCAGCTTTCTGGACTGTCTGCAAAACGGTCGAGGTCCTTCTTCAAACACGTGAAAAGACTGTTACAATAATCCAGTTGATGAAATAAAAGTGTGGATAATCATCTCCATTTCAGCTTTTGACACAAGAGACTTGAGCCTAGAAATATTTCTTAATTGAAAAAAGCAGTTTCAGGTGAGTCCACGAGAATGACACTGCATTGACCTGGCAGAGTCAAAAATAATACCAAGGTTTCTAAGGCTTGGTTTAACAGAGGAAACTAATACACCAAGGTGTTTCTTGATTGTCAGAAGCAATAATTAGGGTTTCAGTTTTATCACAATTAACCTACAGGAAGTTGTCACTGAGCCATTGTTTGATACTGGCAAAACAGTTTATCAAAGAGGACAACTTGCAGTATTCAGAAGGTCTGAATGAGTAATATAATTGAATGTCATCAGCATAGAAATGATAAGACTAGGGTTGGGCAATATTGGCAAAAAAATTAATCACGATTAATTGTGGTATTTAGCCGATAACGATTAATTTGATGATTAACCCCCTGGAGTCCCTGGACACCTTTATGTCCCAGTCACATAACCAATTTAGTGGGAAAGATTTGCTCTAAGTAAAAATCTGTTCCAAATTGTGTTAAAATTACAGACTTCAGGCTATACATCAAATTTTAAATTGTATTAATAAATTACAGAACCTTTTTTTTTTTTTGTCATATTTGAAGAAGAGAGGAGCACCGAGCGGAGTGACTGGAGACATCTCCAGTCAGTCTGCCTGGTTGCATTAATCGTATTAATCGTCAAGTGCCAAAAAATAATCGATTAATGTTTTTCTGATGATTAATCGCACACGATACGATTATGCCCAACCCTAGATAAGACACATGTGAAAACTGACTTATTATTTAGCCAAGGGGGAAAATATCCAAAAAAAAAAAGAATAGGTCCCAATACTGAGCCTTGAGGCACCCCACATAGCAGGCTCTTAGTTTGGAGATGAGCAGAAACTCAGAAATGAATGGGAGTCAATCCACGGTCCCCACGGGGATATAAAAACAAACCTGTGTGTGTTCAGGGTCTGAAGCTCCTCCATGACGGAGGCGTGTTCTTCGGCCACCTGCACGCCTCTAACGTGGTCGTGGAGGATGGCGTGTGTCGGCTGGCGGACGTGGAGAACGGCGTTCTGGGAGTTCCGTCCGTGCTGCGGCCGGCTTTCAGCCAGTTCAGGAAGATCAGCGTACGTAATCTGGATTAAACTAGCCTGGATTAGTTGAACCGGGCTGTTTGGAGGTGTAAAAATTAAACATTTTCAACCTGCAGAGCACCGAGAGCATCGACGTCTTCTGCTTCGGACATCTACTGTACGAGATGACGTACGGCCGACCCCCGGACGGCGTTCCCGTCGACCGGTTTCCCGCCGCCCCCTGCAGCTCCGTGGGTCCGTCTAATCCCAGGAACACATTTTGAAAAATAAAATCTGTCATTTCTTAAACACGTCTTGTTTGTGCTCAGTGTCGGTGCTGCAGTCCATCCTGTCCACAGAGGCCTGTAAGAGCGGGATGCCAACGGTGTCGGCGCTCATCCAGACGCCGTGAGTTTTTTAACGGAAACAAATCAAATGTGTCCTTTCAGAATAAAACTCTTGTGTTCCGTCCTGCAGGCTCTTCAGTGACGTCCACCTCAAACACTCAGAGAAGCTGCAGATCAAGGTGGGAGCATCGGCTCGCTCCAAAGTCAGAATCCAGGGATAAATGAGAACCCTAATCCCTCCTCTTTGTCTGACAGGTTCCCAGCAGGTTGAAAGAGGCGCTGAAGACGGCTAAGGGCAGTCTGGAAAACAGGCTTCATGAAGAACAGAGGATGGTTGGTCGTGTTTTTGTTTTTTATTTTTTAAATTGTGATATTTATGAACGTTGAGCTGCAACAAGTAGGGTTTTTGTCGAAGTTATGAACAGTTAATATCTTACTTGTTGCAGATAGCCCTTTGAACAAACTGACGAGCTAACAGTGAGTTTAACCAAATATAATTTTCTGACTTTGTAAACTAAAAACATAACTCTCCCTCAGCTGCTGCAGATATGTGACCCATCACATCGAAATGAGGATTAGGTTGAATTTGGTCAAAATGACCTCATCATATTTTCAGATTCTGGCTTTAAAAGCTACATTTTGATACTTGGATCATCCTGAAATCATTAGTAGGTCCAGAGATATTATTTAATTTGTCTTGTTGGTCACAATAATACATAAATATTTGGTCTAAATCCTGATTTTATGTCATTTTAATGAGGATTTTTTATGTCATTTTAAAAAAGAAACCTCAAATAGTATTTGAATATTGAGATTTCCCAGCTGGAAAGAAAAAAAACTTTAAAGGGATCCATTACCTTATATATATT